AGTCCATCTTGGTTATTTGGTCGTGATCAAGCTTAATCATATAAAATAAACTTTAAGATAAAAACATAACGTGGATATCGCCAATTTGATTTCTTTTCTATATCTCTCCTTAGGAAAAAGAAAGTTAGAAGAAAGATATATATAGTATTTAGAGTTCTTGCCTATCAAAAATGGATATCTCTACCCTTGATTCTCTCATCTCTTCTAATATCTTACTTCTTTCTTGCCCTCTATCTAAAAACAAAAAAAAAACAAAACCCAGAAAAAAAAATCTATTAACCACCTTTATAAATGAAAATCTTTTACACAGCGACAATGGAGCTTTGAAACCTGTAAGTGCTCATTATCATGCCATGCTCTTTCTATGGATAAGCAACAATCATACATTCCTATTTTAATGAGAGATTAAACACTGTTAGTTAACTTGCTTTTTTTACTTTTTATTGGTTATTTGGTGTTGGAAGAGTTTATTTTTATTGTCTAAAGTCTAAACTATTTTTTGGTGTCTTTTTGGATGATTTAATAAAATATCGAGTCATCGGTTCAGAAATATGTTTATAACTTGGATGGTGGAAAGAGTTCATATTTTTTGTAATTTTGGTTTTAATCTTAAATTGAAAAACTATATTACATTTAATTTGTTATTTCTTATGCATTAAATTATTTTAAAATATAAGGATTACTTGATGGTTGCTTGATGAAAGACCATGCAATTATTTCAAATATTTTTTATCTTGAATTTCAAGTGATTTATACCATTATCTTTTTCCGCATATTTTATTATTATTTTTTATTTTATTTTTTTTGCATATTTTACTATATTGTTTTGTTGATATTTCAGTTAAAGTTTGTTCCTATTTAATGGATGGTTCAGTGCATGATAAAATATGTAGTTTATGTAAACGTATTTTATATATTTTAAAATATTAGTGTTATTTATTTTTACTTTTTAAGAACTTTTCTTTATTTTATTTTAGATGTTTTATCGTTGGTCTTTTCTCTTTCTTTTTTTTTCGGTTGTTATAATGATTTATTTTTATTGTTTAATTATTTTTTTGGTTTATTAGGTTATAAAAAAATAGGAAGTAATAAATTAAGAATTATGATTATAGCTTGGATGGTAACACAAATCCATATTTTTTGTAATTTTTCTTTATTTAAGTTAAAAAACTTATTGAATTTAACTTAATATTTCTCATGTATTAAATTATATTAAAATATAATAATTACATCATGGTCTCTTGATGAATAAACACTCAATCTTTTTTCTTTTCTTATTTTTAAAATATTCTAATTTTTATTGAATTTGACTTACATTGCAATGGCCAAAGAGCTTGCTAGATTTATGATCTTCAAGATTTCTTTTGACATATTTTTATCTTGAGTTCCACGATTTTTTCTTTTTCTATTTCCTATTTCCACATATTTTACTATATCTTCATTTGATATTTCAATGAATATTTTTTCTTACTTAGAGATGATGAATTTTTGAAAAAAAATTGTAGATTTCTATTTTATATATACATCAGATCATTAATTTCATTTGTTTTTAATTTTAAAGATTTGTTATCTTATTTCAAATTCTCTATCTTGTTTGTTTTATTGCATAATTGGAGTTAGATTATATAGAAGTATTATATTATTTTATTTCTAATGTTATCATTGGCCATAACTTAAGATGCTCCCTTAAGAAATAATTTTCTAATTTTTTTGTTATGAATTTCCCTAATATTTAGCAAATATTATAAGACATTAATTTTTGAATTAATTGTATAGATTGAAATCTTTTGACTTAGTACATCAAGTAATTACTTACAATACATGTGAAATTTGAATTTTTTATTTTATTTTATTTTTTTGCTAGAAGTGAAATTCATATGTTTAATCAAACAGCCAAAAATCCATCAAGAAAGTTGAGTTATTGAATGTATAAAGAGGAGAAATAATAATGCCTTTTGTATATTCTACATTATTAATTATTTTTTATTTTTACATTCTTTAATTTCTGCTCTATATGGGTTCTTCCTATATTTTGCAGGTTGATGAAAATAGAAAAGTTTATATTTTTACAACAAATTTTTAAATTTTACAAAATAAAAATTAAAATATTTAATAGAAATCATGCTCACTTTTGTTTAACAAAAAAAAAATATTATGAAAGAACAATTTCTTATTTTTTTTGTTACTTAAATAAGTTTGTATTTGAAATAAATTTTTAACTTTCTAAAAATTATTGGTCATAAACTTGGAAGTCACAAATTTTTATTAGAAACCAATTTTTAAACGTTTTATGTTCTTAAAATTTGAAACTTTCATGGTCTTTAATTACATCATGGCTAACTTCTCTATTTTAAAAAAGTTATAAAGTCTAAATTATTGTTATCATTTCATTCAAATTTTGTCCTTCAATTTTGATTAGTGAGAAATTTTTGGACTTTTATAAATTATCAAGTTCCTAAAATATTATGCTTACGGTTTTTAAAAAATGTAGTGCAAATAATATAGTGAACAATTGTAACTTAGTAATTGATTATTTTTACTTTTTTCCTTATTTTATTACGTCTACCCTAATTAATTTTTCTTTATTTTGTCCTTCAATTTTGATTTGTGAGAAATTTTTGGACTTTTATAAATTATCGAGTTCCTAAAATATTATGCTTACGGTTTTTAAAATAACATAGTAGCAATTGTAACGTAGTAAATGATTACTTTTAAAATATAAATTTTCCTTATTTTACATGTTTACGTGTAACCTAATTAATTATTCCTTATTTTAAAAGTTTGTCTAACTCAATTGTGATGCTTTTTATGTCTTTCTATGCTTGGTTGGTCTGTGGAAGAGAGAGAGGCACACAGAGTGAGAGAGAGGTCAATCCCTTTGGCTATGATTCCTTGAAATGTCTGCATTCTCCTTCGTCTCCTACATGTTCTTGACGACTTTTAAAAAATAACATATACTTTATAGATTTTCCATTTGAAGTTGGCGTTCTTTTACTTCCAAACAAGTGGCAATAAAAATAATTTTTAAATATAATTTGATCCTAATTTTTGAAGAATATATAATCTTTAACATGGAGATCACGAATATAAAAAAAAAAAATCGAAAACTAGAAATAATAATTATATTAAAAAAATATTTTGTTAGTTAGTTAAAATTGTTTTTAGATGGACCACCTATTTGCATCCATCTTTAAAAAAGATGATTTATATCTTTGGACCGCATATTATAGAAATGCATTCTAGCCCGAATTTTTGTTATTTATATGATGACCACTCTGTTTATATCTATATGCAATGCTTGTGATCCTACTAGTCCTACTAGTCTTTAGAAAGCTAAGCTATTTTTACGGAAAAAGATAAAATAAAAGAAAGAAAATAATGTCCCTGTATGAAAGAAGCCAAAAAATAAAGTTTTTTTTTAAACCAAAATACCCCTAATATGTGCCGGAGGGGCTTTTGATCATCAAAATGAGCTGATCCTGCAAATAAATTACAACATTTTGTATGCCAGATCAGCTTATGTTATTAAAATTGTATTGGTTTGGCACAAAATGTGCCACACCGGCTTATATTGAAATCGCGTTTGATACAAAATGTACCTGATTACCGTTTGTATTCAAATATGATTTAAAATAGAGAAATTTCATATACAATCCTAATTCCTCATCTTATTTCATAATAGACCCTCTTTCAGTTTTTCTTTCAAGTGGCATAAAGAAATCCCTAAAGATTTCAGGAGACCCCCTCATCTCTTATTTCCCTCTTTAATTAATATTTTACCATAAAAATTAGCCTAAGTAATTTTTTTATAAAATTAATTTTTTATAAAAACATTTAGGGGCTTTCTTATGTCAATTGAAAAAATAACATAATATGAGCAATTAGAATTCTATATGGAATTTTCCCTTTAAAATATGGGTATTTTGGTCTAAATAGTACAATATGGGGGCAGCTATAAATTTCACAAACCTTTGCCAATCATGGGCCCATTCATGACTCATCATAATCACTTGACCAAAATATTCATTTGGGCACTGACAAAATTAGTGAACCTTCATAGCAGTTTCCTAATTTTGCCAAAATATTCATTTGGGTGCTAACAAAATTAGTGAAACTTTAATCCCTGACTCTCTAAATAAAAGGCGAGGCTGGAGGAGCCAATCCAAGGACGCAACTAGCACACAAGAAATGGCATTTAGTAGACCCATTAGAGAAAGTTAATTAGAAACACTAAATTTAGCTAATTCAACAATTTAGAAAGGAATTATTGAGAAACATTGAATTTAGCTTCTACCTAATTATCCTTTAAATTAACTGATTGTTCAATATAGAAAAAAATTATTGGAGACACTAAATCTACCTTTAAATTAACTGATTGTTCAATATAGAAAGAAATTATTAGAAGACACTAAATCTAGGTACTATCTATATCTTTTGAATGTGTCTTGGAAGGGGAACTGTATCTTCTATGGCGGTTTAAAATATAGGCATATAATAAATATGGCGGTTTAAAATATAGGCATATAAGAAGTAGTAGTAAATTTTGATAAGTAGAAGACCCTAAACAGATGTATTAAAATATAGGCATATAAGAAGTAGTAGTAAATTTTGATAAGTAGAAGACCTTAAACAGAAGGAACATGCAATTGCAGAGTTGACACAAATTCAAAAAAAATTGTAGAGAGAGATCCCTGTTTTTTGTTATATTTTGGGTGTATAGAGAGAGATAGAGAGAAAGAGAGAGAGATTAAGGCACGTAATTTTCGTGTCCATTTGTCTGGAATTGACTGAACAGTGTAAGCTGTGGAGGAGAGGGGGTTGGGCCCCTTTGTCATTGCTTTCGCCTGCCACCTTCTTTTTTTTTTTTTTTTTTTTTCTGACAAATAACCCATCTTTATCACCTTGGTCCTACACAACCTTGTCTTCATCCCAAAGAACTTGTATTCTCTCTCTATATATTTCGAAATGCTTTTGAAATTTAATGTTAACTAGCATATGGCTACCAACCCATGACAGCCGCCTTCATCTTCAGCCTGAAATCCTTCTAACCCCCTCTCTCTCTCACACACACACATTCATATTTGAATTCCTTTTGAAATTTAATGTTTACAACCCCCATGGCAAAATATCCCTGTTAACCAACCCATGACGGCCGCCTCCACTCTTAAGCCTGAGATCCTTCTAACCGTCTCTCTCTCTCTCTATCATATATCTCCTACACATGTTATTCTCATTGTTCTCTATACATATCACCAACACATGTTACTGCCATTATTGTGCTAATTGGCATTTGCAAACAGTGTACAGCATCAGAGGATGGCAACTAAGGCATTCATCTTCTACCTCCTTTCTGGCTCTCTAGTTGTCCTTCTCCCTGCATTCTTCTTCACCTACTCAAAGCCCCACAACTCTCATCTTCTCTCCTTCAACAACACAACACTTCCACCCCAATATGGATCTGGATCTGGTCTTCTCTCTGCATCAACTAATTTCAATCACGGAAGTTCTGTGAGGGTCTGGCCTGTGAGTACACAATCTCTTTCTCTATATTTATGCTCTTAGTCATGTTTCTGTTTCTTCTCTTTTGTTGGGCAAGTCTTTTTCCTTTTCTTCGCTGGTTATGTTTCTCACTTTGCTTTTAGATGTTTCCTTATCCTCTCTGAGTTTCTCACTAATGTTGTTTAATTAAGAGAGATGTTGAGTGAGGTACAGAGTCTCCCCAGTTCCTGTGATATTACAGATGCTTCTTCTTCCTTTCTTTATGTTTCTCATAAAGATCGCCATGTGTTGGTTTTCTGCAGAAGCTTGAATTTGGGTGGAGAATAACATTGGCCACAATAATAGGCTTTCTTGGATCAGCTTTTGGTACAGTGGGAGGAGTTGGGGGTGGTGGTATCTTTGTTCCCATGCTTAATTTGATAGTTGGTTTCGATACTAAGTCAGCTGCTGCTCTCTCTAAATGTAAGAACAACTTTCTGATATTTCAATCCACAAAAAAATCCGTCTTACCATTCGAATCTAACAAAGAAAAAAGATGCTCATGATTTCATCTCCTTAAATCTCCAACAACGAAATAAGGGTCTCATGAATTTGCAACAAAATAAGGGTCTCATGACTTTCAATCACTGAATTTGCAGGTATGATAATGGGAGCCTCAACATCCTCAGTGTGGTACAATTTGAGGGTGCCACACCCATGCAGGGATGTGCCCATAATTGACTACGACCTTGCGCTCCTTTTCCAACCTATGCTGATGTTGGGGATCACTATAGGAGTGTCTCTCAGTGTAGTTTTCCCTTACTGGCTCATCACCGTACTCATTATAATTCTCTTTCTAGGTATGACATTGATGAAAGAGGAAAACCCATGTTCTTTTTTGAGCATTTTTCACCTCTGCAATTGATATTATGGTAGGAAAGAGCCACGGTTTCCTAAAACCTCTCTGTTTTCTTATGAAACAGGGACTTCATCGAGGTCCTTCTTCAAAGCGATTGAGACGTGGAATCAAGAAACAGTAATGAAGGTTTGGAAAGTCCCTCTCTCTCTCTCATGTTTTTCTTTGATATAAAACAATTACATCAAGACTGAGATTTAAGAGTAACAAAATGGTTCATGACATGCAGAAAGAAGATGAGAAACGAGAGTCCATCTCTGCAACTAATGGTGAAGGTAAATGCAAAATCCTAATTCTTTACCAGTTCAAGTTACAAAAGAAAGAAAACAACTGTTGAAGTGATGCTAAAATATATTCCTTTTCTCTTGTTACAGTCGTTATTGATGCCGACTATGAACCCTTGATCCCTCAAGAAGAGAGATCTGGACTTGTAAGGAATCACTAGTTTTACTCAATTTCTATCGAGAGAACAAAAAAAAAACCACTGCTTCTTTGTCTCACATCTGATTCATCTGCTTATCTGTTCAGGAAACAATTTCCTTCAACTTGAGGTGGAAAGGCCTTCTGGTCCTCATGATGGTTTGGTTCTCTTTCCTTCTCCTTCAGATTTTCAAGGCAAGTACATAACCCTTTCTTTATTCTTCCCCGTTGAATTACTGGTTTGTAAGGATCAAAGCTCAGTAAACTACTCTCTCTAAATTTGCAGAACAAAACAACAGATTGTAGTACTGCATATTGGATCCTCAATGTCTTGCAGGTAAAGGCCCTACCATTGTCTGACTAAGAAATAAAACAAGAATCCACGAACTGAAAGAAAACAAGGAGCCATGCACTGATAGAATTCTCCTGTTTTATTCGACAGTTTCCAATAGCAATCACTTTGTTCCTCTATGAAGCTCTGAAACTCTGTAGAGAGAGCAAACAGAGGAAGAAATGCGGAAACAAAGAGGCTGTCTGTGAGGCGACAATCGATTGGACCCCAATCCAACTCTTCTTTTGTGCTCTTTGTGGTCTTATTGGTGGCACTGTTGGAGGACTACTGGGTTCAGGGGGTGGGTTTGTGCTAGGCCCTCTATTGTTAGAGATTGGTGTCATCCCTCAGGTGAAATAACCTTCTTCTGTTTGGTTTATGAATAATATAATTTGATTTAAACTAATTTACAGTTCCCCTGTTGATTTAAACAAATTTGCATTTCACATAGGTCGCAAGTGCCACTGCAACATTCGTGATGATGTTCTCTTCATCTCTCTCAGTGGTTGAGTTTTACTTCCTCAAGAGATTTCCAATTCCCTATGGTACTCTCTTCCTCTTCTTCCTTTTTCTCCTATGGTACTCTCTGTTCCTCTTCTTCCTTTTTTATGATTTAAAAGTTTGGGACCCTTTCAAATGATCAGTAATAGGAAATGGAAAGAAAGCTTTGTTACATAAGAACTGAAAGATCCTGATAAAGAATCCACTTTTGAGTTGACTCCAGTGGGATCAAGTATAAAAAACATGCCGTGTAACTTTACCAGCATCTATGGTCACTCTCTTATAAGAGAGAGAGAATTCCAGAGATTGCTAATTAAACCTGCCTATTATACTATAATAAAGAAAGCGGCCACATGGAAATTGGAATTGCTTTTCTTTTCTTATTGCTTTTTTTACAGTAAAAAAGAACGACGGACCTTACATGTAACCTCTCTTTAACAGTAAAATACAAGAGATAACCTTAGAAGTGCCCCTGCTTAGGCACCTTTTGGAATTTGGATGGCTCTATTTTTTCTAATTAGCAATGAAACTGCCCTAGAGTTGTGCCGGAATGGCCCGGTATGTCAGGTTGGCCCACCACTATTCGTGGACAAATTCCAGAATGGGACTCCACTTAAACACAACTACTAGCAGGGTTGTAGGGAAGGAAAAAAAACACAATTCCTTGGCTGCTCTATTGACAATTAAGTTATCCTGATACAATCAAGTTATATGACATGCTCTATTGTCTTCTAAGTTATCCAATTCCAATAACCCACAATTCCTTTGCAGCTCTATATCTGACAGGGGTCTCTGTCATTGCTGGCTTTGGGGGCCAATGCCTGATCCGGAAGCTAGTTGCAGTGCTAAAAAGAGCATCAATAATTGTCTTCATTCTTTCAGCAGTTATCTTTGCAAGTGCCGTGACGATGGGTATTTCTCCTCTCTCCATTTTAAACTTCTTTTTTCTTTCTTAAAAATGGTGAATCTCTCAATAGTTTTAAGTTTCATATGGACTAATAATCTTGAATCATTTCAAATCCTCAGGAATAGTGGGCACTGAGAAGAGCATCTCCATGATAAAGAAACATGAGTACATGGGCTTCCTCAGCTTATGTTAAAATGTAAAGAACGCCATGATTCAGTTTGCATTGGAAAGAGTGGTCAATAGCTCATTGACCTTGCTCCTGCTTCACCAGATGTTTACAAGGCTTTTTCAGTTGGTTTACTGCATTAGATTATTTATGAAGTTGGGAATGTCAACACCTTGCTGTCATTCCCACGTAATGAGGAAATATAACAATCTTTCATTTTTACAACTTTGGGTAAAATGGGTGCATCTCTCTCTCTCTCTCTCTCTCTCTCTCTCTCTCTCTCTCCTGGTTTTCACCTGGAAAATCAGTGAAATGGATCAACAGGCTTGCATTGCCATGGAAATTCACTGTTGGAAATCAGATGGCAAGCCCAATTGTCATAAGATTCTCAGTATCCATTGAAAAAACAAAGCTGACTTTGGAATTTAAACATCATAGGATTAAGTTGCAGTTGAGGATACATTGCAAAAGAAAGTGCTTTTGCATAAACTGACCCCAAAATCGGTGAAGAATGATGGATCTTCTTCACCAAACAAGCAACAAAAAATGAACATAACTTTGTTTTCACCACAAAAGAGTTCTAACCCTGGTATTTCATTTGAGCTTGGAGATATTATCACTCTGGATTTGTCTAATGTAGAATGACTGCACCAAGGTTTCATACATTTCTTTAACATCACCCTTGCCATCTGATGTCAAGGGCAGATGACTGGGATGTGTATTTCATCCTTTTGAAATCTGTCAAATATTTTGAAGAATTTTGGGTGGAAGAGCTACACAAATAGGCAATCTCTTGTTGACATCTTGCTAGAAACTTCAATGCCCTCATTGTTTGTTAAATCAGGAACTATCCTCCTTGGGACTACGGAGAGAAAATAGAGTGTATTAGCAAAAATGGAAATTATGAAACTAAACATAAAAAAATATGCAGAACCCAGAAAAAAATACTTCCAAAATCCAAGAAAATTAACGATTGAAGAGAGAGAAATGGGAACGAACACTTCCATTGTGGCATGCAGACGCGAAGAGAACATTTTATAGATATGTTAATAGATGTATTTGGTATAGTCACTCATTAAGGCAGTTGAGGGGAGAACTACTCTGCGAAGCATAAAGAGGTGTACGCCTGGGTCTTCCTTTACCTTTCTATTTCAGAAGTTTTAAACACTCTTTATTTTTTGAATATTTTCTCCATTTACCTTACCAGCTAAATGCATATCCCTACTCCAAATGACTGGAACTTGAAAGCCATACGTTGACTTAGTTGTGTAAAAGTATGTTTCCAACCTTTGAAGACTTGGTTTCCCTCGAGTCAAGCAGACTTCAGGGACTATGCTTGTGTAAAAGTATGTTCCCAACCTAACCTTTTAAGACTTGATTTCCATTGAGTCAACCTGACTTCCGGAACTATTCTTGATAATTGAAACATCAAAATGGAAACAGCTAATGAACATCATCATCATCAAAGTTTTCTCTCAAACTATTTGGAATTGACTACATAAATCTTAGTATGTCGTTCTAATTATCTAGAGTCATACCCTCAATAAAGTCATAAGTCCTTATGTTTTTTCTCACTACTTTCAATTATATCTTTTTGTGCCTATCCCTTATCTTTTTTTGACCTTCCACTTGAAAACCAACTTGCAACTTCTAACAAGTGTCGTACTGGTCTGCGTTGTGTATGGAAAGCTGATAAACATGAAATAAAAATCTTCAATCCTCAACTTTGGAAGGAACGTGTACAGCCAATTTAGGGTAATACTGTTCAAGGGCAACTCGCAAAATGCTTTTAGGATGGAGAACACAAGGGGAGGCCTGCCCATGGCCCCTCTGGTTTTAATCACTCTTCCGAAAGTGATTGATTCTAATCTTGGGGATAAATTAACTCTAGTTTTGTTGAGACCTGTTTGGTTCCAGTTTGAGGCACCATATATAGTTGTACATCAATTTTGGAGGAGCAATGAATTATACTTTCATTGCTAACAAAAGAAGCAAAAGACCCTTCCTCTTGGGTCCCTAAAAAGTTGGCCAGAGTATTAGCAAATTTTGCCTTTTTGCCTTAAATCTTGAGTCAACAGAGTTCGAAACCAATGTGTCACCCGATTTTTCCAATGTGTAACTAAGTAGCAAATTACACACCTAGGAATTGGGTCTCACGGTCCATCTCTGATGACAAAGATTCAAGAATTAAAAAAGTAAGGGAGATGCAAAATCCAGTTACTTCCAAGACAAAAAATAATGACGAGTTTCATGGGCTTTCAATTCTTAGAGCACATTTAATATCAAAACACGTATTTTTATTTTGCATTAATTAAAAATTCATGAAATCTCTCCCGACGCCACCCCAATAATAATAATAATCTATCAAATCCCAGCCCGCCAAACTTACTCCTCCTAATTTGAAATTTCAAAAGTTCACGAGTGCTTTTAAAAATTGGGAAAGTTTACAAATTTATCATTTACTTTTAGTACAAGTCATAATTACTCTCATTCATCATAAGATTTCACATTGGATGGTTGCAAGTGCTGTCATTGACTAAACTCAAAATTTAAAGAAAAAATTCTTGAACCTTGTGACACAACTCAAGCTATCCAATTTGAAATTGATAGCTTGAGGTATTTGTGACCTCTTTATAACATAGGCAAATAGTCCCATAGTATACATTCCCTTAAAAATTTTGTAAATTTTTTGCTAAATTTCCAATCTAGGATGGCTGAGGTCAAATAGAGCCAGCCCGGAACATAAGACCTGTTAGCCCAGCGTGTTACAGATACGGTTGGGCCTGGGTCCAGCATCCCAGCTTGCCTTTTTTTGGAGAAGTGAAAAACTTTTTTCATGTGGTGATCAACGTGTGAATCAAGCCTACGATCTAGGATTGCAATTACAAATAAACCAATGCCCAAACAACAACAACTAGGGTTGCAATTACAAAGAAACCAATGCACAATGCCCAAACAACAACAACAACTAGGGTTGCAATTACAAAGAAACCAATGCCCAACACCGACAATAATACTAATAAAGCAGACCATTGAAGTACTGATAATACAATAGCATAGCTAAGAATCATGGGGGCTGGTTCAGGAATGGCATTGCCGATTATAAATAAGTCCAGCCTCCAAGTTCCATTAACTTTGCTGGTCTAGGAGGTTATGATGAGCTTAAATTGTAACCCGGGACAGCCAGTGTCACAATGGCCTGCTTGGCATAACCCACTCACAGGCTCACTCTCTCTCTCTCTCTCTCTCTCCCAGCGGCCCCCTAAATGCTCTCTCTGTCTCTATCTCAAGTTTTGTAAATTTTCTTCATAAAATGGTCACACCGGCTCTGTGCTATTTATTGCCATATTCTTGCTTTTTAGTCATTTTAGTTCCTTTTTTTTTCTCTTTTTTTTTCTAGTGCTGATTTTACCTTCTTCATTCTGTATGTTTTATTACGTACTCCTTTTATGTGTTACTTGTTTTCTCTTTCTATCATTTTTCTTATTCGTAATCATTTTTACTTTCTTTTTTTCTTTTTTCACCTGGTATCCAATTCCGCATGCAAAGCATTTGAAGCAGGCAGTTTCAAAAAATATGTCTATAATATTTGTATCCATTAAATACATACCAACACTTGCTGGCTCCAAGGCTTGATTGAGCTAAGGCACATCCTTGTCATTGTGTTCTTGGCCAGCCCTTATTCCCCAAATTTCCCAAAAAGAATCACAGCCAATTCGGTAATTCTTTGAATGGTTTGACCAAATTAGTTGCCTCCCACATGAAGACGCTTAATTGGTGAATGGATTTCAGTTAAGCTGCCACATCCAGGGCCAATGCACCAGATCACATCAAAACTCAGAAACAAGAGCATGCAGGTGCAAGAGCACAACCATGGCCACCCAGGCCATGGCTTCTATATCCATTTCATCATTCAATCAGATTTTAATCCACATCTTTACCTGAACTACCAAACTCAACTCCAACCAATTGACCCCCTTGAAATGTGCTATAAACTGTGCTGCCAACATCATGCAACGTTAAGTGGATATGCATAGAATCAATGATTGCATCCCCATATCCCACATATTCATTGACAAAAATGGCACATTGTGTGTACAACCCATCCTTTGGAGGCTGGTTTAGCATACATGATTTGGATACTGATATTCTATTTCCTTTGGATACACATCCTGGGGGTATTGCCAATATGAGGCGGTGCTTCCGTCCAAGGAGCTCAGAAACATGTTGGATATCACCAGCAGCGAGACAATACCTCACTCGTGTAGAAGATACCTGCCCTCTCTCTCTAGAATTATGGCCGATGCCTCCTCCATTGGAGCAGTCTGATTTATCCATAACTGATTTCACAATATAGGCATCCATACCATACTCCTTGCACAAACGTACCAAGTCAGATGCATCACCAGCAGCCTTATAACCAAACCGATAATTCTCACCTATTATAGACATAGTGTAAGTACAAAATAGTCTTTAGAACTTCATAATAAACAACTTGGAAAGGCTCATAGATAAGTTCTACTTACCTGCCACAACCCCACTCACGCCAAGTTCCTTGGAGAGCCTTTCAACAAATTGGCGTGGAGTGAGATGTCTTACAGTAGAGAATTCAACACGGCACTCAAGTGGGATCATATTGCCACATAAAGGGACCCAAAGTGAGAGAACCCGATTCCGATCACATTTAGGAACAATAGGAGCTCTGTTGAAAAAATAAATCAAATATCATAGGAACAATAGGAGCTCCGTTGAAAAAATAAATCAAATGTCAAAAGACTAGTAAATAGATGTGATGCAAACATTAAACCGTTAACACTTTAAAAAAAAATAGAACTAAGTTACGTACGGGCCCTATGTAAGTAGGGAAAATACGGTATGCTCTCCTTATATGCGAATATTACATCCAAGGTCTGTCAATGCGACCTTTTTTTTGGATAGACTTACCCTTCAGTTCAAAGATGGCATCCTCAGACCGCTTTTTTTTTGTCGAAACTTAAGTTGTGCCAATACCTTACTCATTACACTCAGATGGAAGTTCTCAACTACAATATTTAAACAATGCAGATAATTTCATGACAAAGAATTTAAGGAATATAAAGTTCAGATGTACATCACCAACAAAATAGATCCAGGAACTATCTCACAAAAACTTTAAGTTTTTTCAAAACTTAAAGTTGCAGTCCGAGGATAGCATCCTTGGACCGTTTTTTTTTTTTTTTTCTTCAAAAATTAAGTTGCGGTCCAAGAATTTCAACCTCGGACCGAAACTTAAGTTTTGAAAAAACAAAAAGTGGTCCGAGAATGACGTCTTCGGACTGCAACTTTTAAGTTTTGAAAAAAAAAAAAGTGGTCCGAGGATGGCATCCTCTGACCAAGGGGTAATTTTGTCAAAAACAAAAGAGGCCGTGTTGACTAACCTTGATTGTAATTTTCGGCTATAAAGGGTGCAACTCGTATTTTCCTAACTTATTTAAGGTCCGAATGTAAATAACCCAAAAAAATGTGATACAAACATTACATACAATGGCAGAACCCCACATTGAGGTGTGAATGGAAGCATGTATGTGTGGATGTTCATGCAGGACAACTTAGTCCTAAGACAAATGCCTCATTGTAATGTCCATTCCTGTCCAGAGCAACGATGTTAAGACCGGCCAGTCCAGATCGGTTTACAGGGCAGAGATGTGGAATAAATTAGAAACAACGAAAAAAGGAGAAATAAGAAAAATGGAAAAACTAGGTAAATCATGGAAAAATAAAAAATTCTAGAAAATAAAAAATTTTCAAACAAATGTATTAGTAACAAAAATAACCCATCAAGCAATAAATCAATACTCATTAACAACAAAATAAGTAAAATACTCATTGAAGGCACAAAACATAAAGCTCATAATATAGTTCAACATTTTCCAAAGTTGCATTTTAGCATTAAAGAAAATTTTCACATAAGAAATAAAAAATACCCGACATCCATGATATGGAACAAACTTTGTCTTTGAACATTCTCCTTAGTCCCATTGACATTCTAACTAATAAATAAATAAAATAGAAAATAAAATAAAAATAAAAACAACAGAAAACTAATTTTTGTTCACAAGAAAATATATAAGCTACAAACTAAGCAAAAATCAACAACATGACACTTATTAAAGCAAAAACAACCAGTGACATAAATACAAGAAACAACGCACTGCTTTGTTTTCAAAAATTGTAAAAAATAATAATTTTCTTACAAAAACTTAATATTTGATTTTTTCCAATTTTTCTAAATATAAAACAAACAATTAAAAAATGTTACAATAACCTTACTCGGGGCTTGAAGTCAGCTCGATTTTGGCCCATGAAATGGTGGTTTTTGGGCATTTTTATATGTATGTATGTAGGTATGTGTATATGTACATACGTATGAATGTGTGTATGTGGATGTCGGTGAGAGTGCGTGTGTGGGTGTGGAGAGAGAGAGGGAGAGCAAAAATAAAAAATAGCTCTCTCTCTCTATCTATCTAAAAATCCTCCATCTTAACTCATAAACAACCTCTAATATGAATGATTACCAAAATGCCCCTAAACTACTTAAAAAGGACAAAAAATTAAAAGCCGCGTATTGAAAAAAGAGGTTGTTTTGACCCCATTTGGACATGTGGGTTCAGTACTGGACCGGTGGACCACGGACCGGCCAGTCCACATGACCAGTAATAGTTCTCTGGACCTTCCGATAGGGGGGCAAACCAGAAAGGACAGGCCACCGATTCACCGGTTATTAGTTGGAACAGGCAAGTCTGACCAAATCTTAAGATCATTGATCTGGAGGCATTCGACGCTCAGACATCTACCATATTCTTGTAGGAGCAAGCATACTGTACTTGAAAACACACAATATCCAAAAGAAGAGAGTTGGAGAAAACTCGAAATCCACCCAAAATTCCCTCCTCCTTGCTTCTCCCACTTGGGCACAAAGTACAGAGTCGAGGAAAGAAAGAAGGTAATGACAGTGATTTTTTTTTTTTCCTGCTAAGAGTTAATGTAGTGATGACGACTCTATGGTGGATCGATGTCATTAGAAACAGCTGTCTCCATGGCCAATTATTGAAGGATCTCAACCATCTATTTCCAAGTTAAGACATTAAGCTTTCAAAGTGGAAAGCTGAAGTAGTAAACAGAGTAAATATTTGCACGCCCTATTAGATTTTTTTTTTTTTTTTTTTGAAATGTTGATTGCATGCTCTATTGAATTTTGCCCACTATCAGGCTTTTAATGTTAGGTGGAGCTCACAAGCCCCATGGAGCAAAGAAATCACATACCTCTATGATTATTCAATTTCCTTTGATTTACCAAAACTACATCCATTATCACCTACTTCTTTCACCCTATACACAGTGGTTCTTAGGCTAAGATTAGATACATTTTCTTAGTGGTAAACATGGTTCTAATGAACTTTTAGGGGCAAGGGAAAATCCCAGAGGATGCTGCCTTAGAAGGTACTGGCAATGCTAAATGCAGATTACGTATGCCAAAAACTTTATTCAGCCTGCAGTAGTTACACTTGACGTGCTTCCTCAATTAGATCAAATGAACTCCCAAAGAGAATGCTTTTCTTATAGAGCCTCCTTTCCAGTTGAGAACAGATGTGCAATGTTGCTTCACCCATGAAACTTTGGGGGATTCATAGGCATAGAAAAAGCTAGTCAAATAACCATTGTTATATAAGTTTACTCTTATGGTAAAAGGCATGTCTCAACAATCACTATTTCAATATTTGTGTTTCTTAATTAGCTACACAAAAAGAAAGGCACAACAAAAAAGTACATAACAAAATTCAATGATATAAACTTTGATCAAAATTTGTGTGAATCTGAGCGAGGACAAAAGCACATAAGTTCCTATCTTAATTTACCTTTGCTCCCAGCCAAGCACTTCTGCCATTCCCACAAATGATAAAAGGAAAGGGAATCCTGCCTTTGATGCTTGTATTGCAAGCTCTCGATGACCAATGTGAAGGGCGTCAAACTTCCCCAGAGCAACAATGCCTCCTATTAAATTGCAGATGTCAACATGTTAACTGGCAAAGTGCAGCCACGTGAAACATAAGCTCCAATTCAAAGCCTTTCATGAGTAACTAATTTCCAAGTGTATAAATAAACTTCGAGAAGCTGATGACTACAAAAAATGAACTAAAGAAGATCTGCAACCTCAAAGGAGAACATACCGAGAACACATTCATTGTCTGGACCGCAATCAATGAGGAATTTATCATCTCTTTCTCCTTTGATAGTCAGACTGACTTCTTGTGGTTCACGTGAATTATGAATTCCCGTAGAAGCACAGGAACTGTTTAGTGACTTTTGAACAATCAAATATCTTTTCTGTTTTGAACAAAAGGCGGCCCTGCAAGCACAAATTGCATGTACACTATAAGTAGATCCAATAATATGAAAATCATTAGCATGATACAGGAATACGTCAGTATTTGGACTCTTTATCTAGAATAAGGTAAATATAGATGTTACACAATAGTACTTTTCCATGTTGTGGAAATATAATCACTATTTTCACAATTATGTATCATTTATCCGAGAAATAATACAATAATGAGAAGATAACACATTGCCACACTCAACAGCATGAATCTAAAACTCTATGGAAATAGGAACTCTTCCATGTACTTAAACAGTTGGATATACTTTCTGCTTAAAGAACACGAAAGCCCTGCGAGCACAAAATTCAGATAGCTATTTCTACTTCATATCAGAGATTGAGAATTGACAATGTGAATAACGCCAGTATAATACAGCTGAAGGTGTCTATTCTTGAACTCATGGCAAATTGTGAAGGCCAATATAAATGCAGCATATGATAGAAGTCTTTTGGTTGGATGACCATTATATCCTCTCACAGTTTTGTGTCAATTATCAGTAACAAACAAAGACTTGAAGATAGAACACAGCCACAAACTACAGCATGCTAGTTCTCATGCTACGGGACTAGCCCTCAAACATTCAAACAAGCAAAAAGTGACTCGTTCAATGATTTCTAGTTTCAAGAAGGACCAAGCATAAGCAGAATTTCCAACTATTCTGTTTTGACCTCCACTCAACCCAAATTCTCCCAAACGGACCCCACATGTCAATTTTATAGTCATCCACTTCGCCTGTAAGGGTAAAATCCCAACTATTGGCCATCTTTGACACAATGATATGGCAGTGGCAAATATGTGTGATCTTAGGAAGGAACTGAAGGAAACAGGGATGGAGCAGCAAACTTGCATTCAAAGTTGTTAAGCCTTTAACAGGCTTCATCCCATTCTTTCGAGACTCAATTTTACATTCCCTTAATTTCCTTTTGTGGCTGAATCAGCTCAATTATTATATTAGCCTAAAAGGGTAAAATAACTATATGTAGTTAAAGATTTAAGAAATAAACTGTTCCTATTGGAAGACATTGACCACAGCCTCGATAGCCCTTCCTCTCATTATGACAATTACATCAAGAATTTATGCAACTAGAATTCGACGAAATCATGTTCTGGTATAGGAAAACTAGATCAAGAAGGTACATGACTAGTACGTCGTTATACTTAGTCAATTCCATGAAGCTCTCCATTCCTACAGCCCTTGATATTCAAAAGAAAAAGGGCTCGAGATTATCTCCAACACAAACATTCCCTTGGATAGAAGAAAAAAGAAAAACAATAATACCCAAAAATATCCTAAATGCTTCTAATTAAACACATAGATGAAAATTTTCTTCATAACAGGCTTTGGTCTGAAGTTTAAGAGACCACGTTGTTTTCCATGTTCAAGAAAACTATCAAGCTTAGTTTGACATGTAAGACGAATGGAAGCATGTCAACCAACATACCAACAAAAATAAAACATTTCCACCAACACACCTATAAAACAGTTAAATTAAAAATATCAACCAACACACGCGAGCAAACACAACAGAATCTTAAGGTAGAAAAAAAAATCTGAGTAGAAATAGTAGAAAAATCAGTATCTCATGTTTAGCACAGGTTGCTTGAGCTACCTTAACCTAAATTTGTCACATTCTGCATAAATAAGAAAAACAAAAAAAATTGGCCACAAATCTAATATTCAAGTAAGGACACAGTTTCTACGAGTCCACGGACTCACGTGTAGAAATGTCGGCCCCTTAATAATTTATTTTTTATCCTAATTTTTAGGAAATACATAGTCTTTAACATGGAGATTATTAATATGTATACATAAATAAATTTTAAAAAGTAGAAATTTGAACCATTGATTTTACTTTTTCCTTGGAGGACTATTATTTACAAGGACCCAGTTTAGGTGGACGGTGTAGATCTCCATGCCCACATAGTTACAGGGGCAGGCTTCGCCGCACCAAACAATTTTCCTTTAGGTAAAGCAATTCCATCTCTCCAAAATTCTAAAGTAAATGAGAAGACACATGGGGAATCAAAGTTTCTGGTTTTCGCAAGGGAAGTTTCTGTCAGTTCCCGGAAAAATCTGCGTAAATGTAGTAAAAAAAAAGAAAAAAAAGGGGCCAAATTTGAATCAATAGCATGTACACTGCGTATTTCATCCAAGACTTCTGCATAATTGTCAAAATTACAAAGTAAATAGAAAAAATAGGAAATTCAGCATCCAGAATTGTCCAAACTAATAGTCTGTTCCCATTAAGCTACCGTTTTCAGCACCAATATAAAAAACGTAGAGCTAAATCAAGCTGAAATATCACAATGGACTTTAAAACACTCGAGTCTGGATTCTTTTGCCTGTAAATTCCACCACATTTCGCATCACAACATAAAAAGAGAAAAAATCTATCACATGGAATAACCAAGTATTCAAAATTCTCAAGCAAATTAAACTGAGAGCCAAGACTAGGGTTAGGGTTCAGAACGCTTTGCGTTTAGCATGAAGTTATACAGGTGCAATACGAACCTTGAGATCGAGAAATGGCCGCAAGAAGAAGTCGAAGGAAGCCTGCTTGATAAAGAGACTCTAAGTGGTGATGAAGAATCAAGGATTGATGGTGATAATGGCTTAGGTTTGGATTTAGCTGAGGATTTAAAAGAAGAGGAGGAAAAAGTCGTTGCCCTGGAGAAGAATTTGCAGGAAGAAGCCATATATGAAGAAATTAAGAAATTTGGAGGGAGGAATAATTAGGGTTCATGGACTTTACAGAGTTCCTATTGCATTACATTCAATGCGAAGCAGAGAGTTCAGTTTCGTAACAAGTATCAAAAGTGTTCGTAATTGCATTTTCGGACCCATGGAATCAAGTTTGCTTTTACGCAACTGTTTGCTATTTGAATGAAGCATCAGCAGAAGGATAACAAAAGATTGGGGTTTGTCCGTCCGATTAGATGATTAACAGTAAAAAAAGTGCTGAGTACACACTTCATGTGAAATACTCTGCTCTAGTGGGTCCCACTATCAATATATCACAGTCAGACAGTTCATCTGACGGTTGTGACCCAATGGACTGTCATTTCTATATGCCCACCGGACATTGGTTGTAGGGCGTGCGCTGCCTTTCATGTATGTTAGACGGTGGAGATTAGATGTTGTAGTTAATGACTCTTATCATATCCAATCTTCACCGTCCAGAAAACATTGGATTTCGAGTTACTCTTTTGGGAGGATAATCGTAGCATAATCCCTAGGGATCACCTTTCCCTTTCCCACCACTTTATCACGTCTCCACTTAACAAATCCAACACAGATCCAGTGCCTAATTTTTTTTGTATATATGTAATCTCTAATTGGATTACATGAATGTGTTAAAAAAATCGAAGTAAAAATATAATTTTTTGTAAAAATTTTCTAAGCCATTGAATGTCCCCTCTTCTTTTTTTTCCAATTAAAGGAAAAATTATCTTTGAGCAGTCTTATTCTTATTGAGCACGCACTAGTGCGCACATGGTACGCCCTCGGTCCTGGCCTTCTAGACATATGCATACTGCCTCCTAGCATATAAAAGGAAAGGGTGAGCGTTAAAGAAAACTGTTTAACTTCCATAATCATATAATCCATGTGAGGAAAAGAGAGCACACGAACTCTAGTTCTAGATATCATTGCTATTGGGATCGGATTGGTCCCCGAATGTAAGGGGGGTTTCGGGACAATCAAAACCAATTTGTCGAGTTGAATTTGTTGAATCCAATTTTCAAAAAATAAGGTAAAATTAAATTAATAATTTAAATTTTAAAATATATTACAAAAGTATTGATAATTTTGTTAAACTAGTATGATTGGTCAAAACTAGCTTATCCGATGGGTTAAAACTGATCAATTAATGGTTTTGACATGTTTTCGACTAAATCACATCTTTACTTTCGAACATACTAACCAAGCCCCTAGTTGGCGGTTGGATTGGGCAGACTAGTCCGGTTCATACTTTGTATTTGACATCAGTGCCCCTTTATTCATAGATGTGAACCCAAAAGAAAAGGATTGGGCATTAAACGGTTTTTTTAGGACATTTTAGAGCTTGACACAATACTTTTCAGTCTTTTTATTTTCATTTGACCCCTTTTAAAAAGCTTCATTTTTTAACTAGCCAAAAATGAAACTTAGATTTTTGAGCATTTCGAAAGTGCAACTTTTGAAACACCAAGACACAAGAAAAAAAAAAAAATGTGTTTGGGTAGTTCGAAAGTTCTACTAACATATTTAATTATGAACATATAAGCCGATTTAATAAGCTTGCTCAAACGTTACGGCATATTACTACACTTGATTTCTTGTTCAAGAATGCCCTTGCTTATTGCTTATTCAGGGTTATGTGTCTGGAATAATATTATTTTTTGCATATTTAAACAAAGGAGCTAACTAAGTGAAAAAATATTATAGAGTACTTAATCTTAAAAATGGTTTGGTTTGAAAGCATCATTTTCCATATGCATCAAAATTGCGTATATTTTTTATTTAGTTTTATGGTTTTTTGTTGAGGAATTCAATCCTAGATTGGAGTCCTAAAGTACTTCAAGATAGATTTTACCCAAAGGCGTAATGGACAATACGCTCATGTGGGAGCATAGCTTTCAGTTGTTATCAAAAGTAGATAAAGTTGGCTAGTCTAACTAGTTGGACCACCAATCTAACTCAAATCCAATTCAGTTGTTTAATTCAACTAAAAACCAAGTCTTTAAAAAAACTAGATTTCAAATGTGATTCATAAAATTTATTGAAAATATTTTATAGTTTGATCAATTTTAATTTGCTCGATAGGTTTAACGACAGGTCACACCGCTTATTGAACCAGACGGAACATTTTTCCTGTTCAACGACCAGCCTAGTTGCCAAAAAAGAAGCATTCTTTTTCAAGCTGCCCATGAATTCTCCAATAAATGATAAAGCTGGTAAGTTTGTTTTGTTTACGAAAGAAATAATCTCCAACAAAAACCTTCACTTTGTATGCTTCTTGAGCCCCAACATCCCTACTGTCGGGCACCTCTAGTTCCTCTCCAATCTTAGAAATGACAACAGAGCTCAGATCATGGAAGAATTTACGGGCCCCACTTTTTCAAGAGCATGTAGGGATCGCTCCACATTTTTTCTAGGTTTTGGGTGGAAGGTGGTAATTCTGGTGGCGTCGTTATGATCTTGAGTTGATTGTGAACCTAATGGGATTTCAGTTTCTGTATGGATATCTGTATTCACATTTTGAGACCAAAACTCGGGGATGGGTATTCCACCAAATTTATAGGATAATAATTAATTTTCTCTCCCTGGCTAAATCAAGGTGCATCTAGTGTTCCGTGTGAACTTCCTGAAACCCTGTTAGGTTCAGGTGGTTCGAGCGCCCCCCGAATTAAGGACACAGGTCATGTGCAAAGTCAATGTCATCTTGGATTGACGAGTGGTATGCATAGTAAGAAAAACCAAAGGCTGGACAATTGTAAGTCCTTGTATGTGGGTGGTATTGGGCGTAGAGGCTGAACTTGGCTCCAAGTGGGCCAGGCTTGTGATTCATGGCTGCATTGGGTGGCCATAAAACAAAGGCCCCATGAGGCCAACTCGACATTCGACTAAAACCCTCACGGCTTCAATTAAAGAGTAAATCCATCGGATTCCATATCCATTCTTGATAAATGGACGTTCGGTCTCAAATCATCTATTAGGACCTTAATGGGGCTAGTATGTGCATGAGAACCCGATTTCCTGGGTTTTCGTCTCTCAATGCAAAGAGAGCGATGGGTGCTTAAGCACAATACGGTCTATTTCACTCTGGCGCATATCTCAGTCGTTCAAGACATTTAGATGTGTGGAATATTATAAAGAAGGAAAACTTTAGTTTCCGATATTTTTACTGGTAAAAGACTTATGCAATTTTGTTATTAAGAAAAGAGATCAAGTTACTTTTCAAAATGCAATTATCATGTTGTCCACCACAGCAATTACTCCGCGCATCGCTCCTTCCTCCCCATAAAGCGACTCTCAAGTTGACTGGACGTTTCCATCGGCTCTTGTCACCCTTCTCTCTCGACTCTAACCTACAAAGTAAAACAAGTAAAAAAGTAACTATTACCATGCATTTAAAATCTCTATGTGTTGTTTGTGTTTAACAATGTTATCATGGTACAACTCGTTCAACCCTTTAGTTGAACCGGTTGGACTGAATTTTAAAATATTGATAATTATTGCAAGAGTTATTTACATACATATCTTAAAATTTTAAGTAAAATACAAAATGTTTTGTTTATATGTGAAAAATACAAAAAATGTCAACCAAGCCACTTTTTTTATTTTTTTAAAAATTGCCCCTCGGTCTTAAATTTTGATTTTGATTTTTTTTGGTTTTTCATTAGTAGGGCAGTACCTCAAGCTTTAAGGCACTTTACGAAAAAGCTAAAAAAAAAAACAAAAGATCAAATTTTGGGTTGACTAAGAGATAATTTTGAAAACAAAAAAAAATGAGTTGACCGATCTTTTTTATAATTTTCGCTTATAAATGGAGCATATCATATTTTATCCAAATTTTTAGGGTCCTTACATAAAACACTGTCATTTTAAAATATAAAATATATTAAAAAAAATAACTATATTTTGTTGGCTGATCTAAAGAATAAAAAAAACAAGTTTGAATTGGCAAAATCTGATCAAATATTAATTGTAACTTTTTATTTTATTTAACTGATGCTAGCTTTTTAGTTTGAACGATACCAATGATGGCACTGATACGTGATTGGACTAGTCTTACCGAATGACGAAGCTCTTTAAAATTCCACTTGGTATAGTATTAAAGGGTGGGAGACTCTGGCTTTTAAAGGACCGCTACTTGAGTTCATTCTATTGCTTGACCCCACAAATAGAGGTGCTTTTGTCTCCCACCCACATCCACAAGGTTGGGTTCCCTCTCCATTTTTGACTAAAACAGCCCTCAAACTTCTTTTCTTGACTCCCTAACATTTATACAGGCCGCCAAAGAAACCGACCCACTTTCATTAGAACAAAGCCCCCCCTTCACTCGCCTCGACCATCGGCGCCCATCACGGGGCCTTCCCCTTTAAACTCCAAACCCCCATTGATTACAAAAACCCCAACCACAACAAAAAACATAAGAAAAGGAAGTGAGCATGGGAATGTTAGGGCACCCTGCACCCCAAAACTCCCCTTCTACCCTTCACCCAGATACCTTCACTTCTCTCTCTGCCTCTGTCCCATTCAAATGGGAGATAAAACCCGGTCACCCCAAAGCCCCTGCCCCTCCCCCCCCTTCTTCTCCACCACCTCCACCTCGGATCCGCCCACCTCCGGCGGGAATCCCACCTTCGCCTACTGTCTTGTCGGGCGGTTCGACACCACCGTCCCTCACCGAGCTCAAGCGCTTTCGCAACCAGCGCCGGCGCAGCCGGAGCCGCAGAGGCCTCGAGATTTTGCCTCGGGATGGCTGTCCTGAGCTCTGCAGCGGGCGACGTGTTCCGGTGGCTTCACCGGTGGCAATCGGTTGCAGCCGGAAAGAGCTGGAGCGGCTGCCCGGCTGCTTGCCTTTCTCATTGCTGAGGTTGAACAGGGGGAGGAAGGTGAAAGCAAAGGAAGAGAAAGGAGAGGAGGAAGACTTTGAGTTCCATCGGCCCTCCTCTGTTTCGGTGTCGATAGCGGATTCTCTGTCGCCTTTGTCTCGCTCACCGTGTTCATTTTCCTCTGCTCGCGAATCACTCTCACCTCCTCTGCTCCAGTCGCCACTCTCCATTTATTCGCCCCGAGATAACCTGTCATGCCCATGGCCTCGCTCGTTGCATTCACGTTCATCGTTCCATGATGTATCGCAACCTCCATACTCGGTTT